ATTCTTACAACTTCACAAAAAAAATGAGTTTTTTGCTGTTTTTGTTTTTGTTTTTGTTTTTTGTTTGTTTTTTAAGGACCAAATTATTTTAAGAGACCTGCACAAAAAGACACCTGAATGTTGAAAAAGTACATTTAAAGGTGGTATTAATCATCAATGAAATGCAATTTAAACACTAATGAGACACACTATACATGCTACCCTGGTAAATTTAAATTGGCACTACCAAATGTCAGCAGGATATAGAACAAATGGTATTGCCATAGTATGCTCGTGGGAACATAAAATAAAACAACTTTGGCAAACAACTTGTTTCTTGTAGAGTTAAGCAAGCCATACCACACAGTGATTCCACACCTAGGTGTTTACAGCAGAAATGAAAATACATGCCCACACAAAGATCTGGACACAAATCTTCATGACAGTTTTTACTGTGTAGAGATGCTGTGTTTTCCATCAGCAGATGATACAAACAAACTTTGATACATCTTTATGATTTAAAAGTTGTTTTTTTTTTTAAAAAAAAAAAGCACTGATAGACACAATGATTCTCAGCATTATGCTGAACAAAAGGCAAACTCATATATGGTAGGTATGCTGTGGTCCCTAGCAAATGAAGCTCTTCTCTGCAGTTAATTCCATGTCTAAAATGAGCACAGGGAATTGAGTAATGCAAGAAAGTATTCCAGGAAACAGGCTAATATCTCAACTGTGTCAACAGGAATCCTCACATTTGTCACAACTAAATGAACTATACACTTAAAATGGATGCATCTAGTTATATGTTTATTATGCACCAAAAAAATTTTATTCTTTGGTTACATATTTTTAAAATACATGGAGTAGATAAAAAAATTGTAGTGGTTCTAATAGAATACTTAAGCTAATACTTTATTAGCATTTAATATGTGTGAGTATGGGATAAAGGAGGATATGCTTATTTTGTTTCTGTAATATTTCAGCCTAAAGTAAACAATTTTGATGGAGTCAAAACTTTCCCCTGAAGAAGGCTAAGAAGGTTACTGTTGAGTTAGAGAGAGAAATTCCTATATAGAAATAGTGTTATTTGTTTATTCATTTATTTATTTATTTTACCACTATGCATTTGACCAATATTCTATGCCAATTAAATAAGATATGCAGAATATAATAATTTGTTCTCTCAGCTAGCAATGGTTTGCTTTAAAAAAGGAGGGGGGAAGCCTCATATTTTCCTTAGGATTTTAAAATTTGTCAGCCTAGAATTTAACAAAAACCTCTTTCATCTTTTCATTCAAGTTTCCAATTCTGTACTTGGAATCTAGATTGTCCATCTTGACAGTGTAGGCAGTTCCTAGTTCCGTGTTAGCATTTTGACTTATTTCATGAAGAAACGGAGATAAGACTGCTCTTATCTATTAAGGCTCTAATAAGAACTGATTCCTGACCCCCTTCCTTCCTGTTTGAGCTTCAGGAAAAATATCTGGCAAAGGCTTTGTGATCTCAGTATCTGTTTCATGAATATGTGACAGGCACTTTGGAAAATTAGCGATATGTAAAATATGCTTTTATCACAAAATGTCACATCATAAAATTTTCCGAGTAGAATATGCTTCTCACATGAGTCACATGAATCAATTTCTTGTGAATATTGCTATCTCCTTAACAAAGTATTAATTTATTCAAGTTAGAAATAATTTCTATCTGCTGCTTTTTCCTAAAGAAGCAACCTAAACAGCTGATCGACATTGCAAATGACTGATGTTTTACCCACAGCACATTGCAGAACATTGACATTTCACACACAGGCCAACTTAGCCTCACTCTAGGTCTCTTCTATTAGTCGAGATTTCCAAACAAGATCGAGCCAAACAGATACCTAGGATAAGGAAGTGATCTACCGAGTTTTGCAGGAGAAACAAGGCATAATTTCATTCTTAGTTAGTACAGTCCAGAATCAAAAGATTAATGTTCTACTCTAGACAGTAAGAGAGAAAAAGAGAGTAACCTCTCCCTGCTTCAATGTCCACTCTATCAGACTCTGAACTCAATGGATGATGGCTATCTACAGAGGAGAATTCAATCTGCATTGCTTATCTCAAGTGTTCATTTGAGATATGTATCTCAAACAGACACACCCTTACAGACTCACATAGAGTGTCGTATAATCAAATTATCTGAATACTCTGCCCTAGTCAAGTTGTCATGAAATTAATCCTCTCATGTCCTCACTTTTTACGTGTTTTAATAAATGATCACATCTTTCCCAGAAACATTCCTTTCTTTAGACATCTATGGCAAGCAAAGACTATCATGCATGATAAGATATGCCCAGGAAATGAGCTGGGAAAGAAAACAAAATGGTCAAGCAAACACATTAGTGTTTTTTCAGAGCCTAAGTCTAAGTTTTGCAGTGAACAAGTAGATGTTAAATGAGTGTCCAGAAAATGCACTTCAAGGAAAAGATGTGTTGGATGTACATAGTTGAATCTGTTCCGTTGCTTTTAATTCTTCTCTCACCTGTGAGTGTACTCTGGTCCCAGAGCCTGAAACCTTTGTGGCCACATCAAAGCGCTTGACAAATTACCAAAGATCCATAAGCAGAAAATAGATCATGTGATTTTTCTACATGAAATACACCGTTTGCATGTTAGAATTATTAGAAATGCAAAATACAAAAAGAAAAACAAAGAGAACATGGAAATTTTAAATAAAAATTTATTCCAAGGGCTAGAGAAATGACCAGTGATGAAGAGCCCTTGTGGCTCTTACAGAGGATCTGGATTCCATGCCAGTACCCAAAGAGGAGCTCGCAAGCATCTATAATTCCAGTTCCAGGGATCTGTCTGACCCCCTTTTCTGTGAACAGAAAAGTACACACATGGTACACATACATACATGCAAGCTAAAAAACTCATACACATTTTTAAAACTGTTATCCCAAGCAGCATTAATGAGTATATTCTAAATGCTGAGTGTACGTGGGTGTCATAGAACTTTCTCCCAATAGATGAGCAAAAATGTGGTGCAGCTTTCCTGGCAAAAGTTAAGCAATATACATCTTTTTCTAAGTCAGATATTTGTATGAGATCAAATTGGAATAAATTAAAAATTGCATACAAATTAACACTCTAAGAAAACTCCATGTTCCATAAGAAAATTAGTCAATTATTTGAGAACTCCAAAGTGTTGAAATTTCGCAATACATTTCTATTACTACAAGATTACATTCCAGGCTTTGATAGAAATAAGCCCCTTTTTGAAATTAATATTTTAAGTTGGATTCAAGATTATAATTTTTTTTTGGTTTTTCAAGGCAGAGTTTCTCTGTGTAATAGCCCCAGCCATCCTGGAACTAGCTCTATAGACCAGGCTGGCCTCAAACTCACAGACATCCAGCTCCTGAGTGCTGGGATTAAAGGAATGCACCACTACTGCCCAGTTCAAGATTAATTTTTAATTTTTCTTATAGTATCTTATTAATTCTTTGAGAATTTTATAAATGCATGTGATGTGATTGTGGGCACCTTCCACTCCTCCCAGCCCCACCCCTCCTTCTACCTCTCCTCCCAACTTCATGTTACTACCCATCCTTTTTAAATCCACTAAGTTTGATTTGTTCTACCCATATACTCAGGGGTATAGGGTCATTCTCCTGAACATGGTTGATCTACCAGGATCCACAACCTTAAAGAACTGACTCTCCCTCCCCAAGAAGCCATTAGCTGTCAAGAGTTCTTTCCTCCCCTGTGCTGGAATGTTGCCTGGTTGGTTCTTGTGTAGGCAACCCCAGTGTACTGTAGATGTTCCATTTGTGGCTGAGTACCCCTAGCATACTGGCTCTCTGCACTTGGACCACTGTGAGTTTCTATGTTATTTATCTGCTGCACTAAAATCCACCTCTCATGAGGTCTAAGGGTTTCACTAAAATATGGGTGAGAGATACAGATTTAGAGAGCAAGTTGATACTATGTCCATTTAGCAAAGTAATGGTGGTAAGTTCATCCTCGAGAACATGTCATTCCCAACTATGTGTTCTTAGCCAGATTTAGAGTACTAGGCATGAGCTTCCTCCTGTGGAGCTGACTATAAATTGGTTACTGTTCTGTTACTATTGCACCCATAGGCATATCATCCATGCTGATTATTATTTTAACTCTAAGGGTTCACAGCTGAATAAGATTGTTGACAACTTTTCTCTCTGGCAGTCTGCATATCATTTTCAAATACTGTGAAAGCCATCCAGCAGAGGAAAAGCTCCCTGGACCATACCAATTTGATTTCTCCATGTTCTAGGACAATATCATGTGGAAAGAGAGACAGCCATATGGAAACCTACTATTTTATAAGATATACATATACATCTTATATGTATATGTGGATATGTATATATCTTATATGTATATGTGGATATATATACATGTATTCATATAATAAAGTTTAATTGGAGTTAGCCTACACAGGAAATAATGCTTCTCCCAAAAGCCATAGGTCAACAAATAAAAAGGCCATGGTCATGTATGTGATACTTCTCCTAGAGTTGTTGGTTAGGGGTGTCCTGGAAATCCCAAAAACAATATAGGGTATTGCCATTGCTCTTAGTTGCCCACCATAATTTAATGATAAGCTTATATAAATTACTAAAAAGATGGTATTAAAATCCCTAAAGGACGTTTTTGTCTCATGATTTTTTCTTAGAAAAAGTATGGTAATAATGACTATGATTTAGCTTACTACAAATAAGATTGCTTATCACAAATGTATCAAACATCTAGTTAATGTTCTTGGTTGCAGGTGCATCTCATAAAGCAATACCTGTTTTACTTTAAATCATGGTGGGTTTGAGTTCTTTGCATGGTTTTACTGTTAAAAATGTAAAGAAGGATTAGTTTACCCAAGGGCCAGGGGTAAATTGATATACTTGTGTTAAGTAATTAAAATCAGTGTATTTGATATTCTGAGAAAATATACTATGCCCAAGTGCAATGTTTCCCCGTAACTTTGTTTTTTATCCAATCCAGCACTAATGTATGCCAGCATTTTTGGGAATGTTTCTGCAATTATTCAAAGACTGTACTCGGGAACTGCCAGGTACCACATGCAAATGCTGAGGGTGAAAGAGTTCATTCGCTTCCACCAAATCCCCAACCCTCTGAGGCAAAGGCTTGAAGAATATTTCCAGCACGCATGGACTTACACCAACGGCATTGACATGAACATGGTATGTATTTCTGTTTCCCAAAACAGAAGCTCCTCGGCATTACAGCCATAGCTAAGTGAAAGGCCAGTCTCACCAGCTTTGAGCCCCGTGCTTTCGTTTCCTTCTCTTGGATGTTTATTTTCTCCCCCGGAGATAGTGTCTCATTCTCAATTCATGGCATTGCATGGTGCTATATCTAGTTATACTGTGTGGCAAAGGCATTATAACGTGATGCAAACTGATATAACTATGTGTCATAGAGTTCCCATCTCCAATTAAAGGAAACATTGTCTTCGCTAAAACTCAGGCCTTGATGGTATGGCCTGGTTACAAACAGGCAACAACAAGAAAAGTAGCTGAACCCATGTGCAATTCAGATTTGGAAAATGAACTGACAATGACCCTAAGCAGAGATCCACAATTCACATATTTTTTTTTTGAAGTAGGACATTTTGAATTTTTATAGGAAAGTTTAGGAACCTTAAGTATATCAGAAAGCATTTTCTGATAGGAAGTTTCATACTTCCTTTAATAATTAGTTATATTCATTTTAATATACTTGGTTTAATGACTCTTTCTGCTCAAGAGAGAAACAGACATTCCTTAACATCTTTTAAAATATTTTATATTTAAAAAAAAAAAAAGAAACACTTTTTGAAAGCACCTCCTGAATCACTGGATAGAAGTCAACATAATTAAGATGAATGGGTTCTGAAGAGCTCTTTGTGAGATTTAGAGCATTGCTCACATTATTCACTTTGCTCTTTGGCTTTAGGAGTTTAATGCTACAAATAAATTATGCAGCAAAGCCAAACCCCACTACTGACTGCAGAGCTATAGGAAAAGACAAAAACACAGCACATCCTCACATCACTCCCCTGTTCTGAAAATTCTTCTGAAAATAAATCATCCCTATTTGAGTCCATCAATTAGATGATGCCATTTTTGTGTGACTGTATATGTACAATTTAGATGGCTATTTTCCATTTGACCAGAGATGCTCTAGCAAAACAACAATGGATCAAAATCAGAAATCATGGTGAAGGCCATAGAGCAAATTGCTGCCAACTCAAAGACACATTTATATGTAGATAAATTTATCATTGCTGCATGTGATTTATTTGCTGAGGAAGAAAATCATATTATCGTAAAAATTTTCATTTGAAGAAATAAATGAGCACATTTGACACAAAAATGTAGCTCAAGCCCATGAGCTATGATTTTCAGGTGTCCCAAAGTTCATGGTGAAAAAATCCACTTAATACATTACTCTCCTCTGAGATGATTTTAATTTTGTAAAGAAGAGCACCTATATATTGGTTGCTTTGATAAACTGCTACTGTGCTTGATTAACTAAGATACCAGCATTCAAAACCACTGGGGAGTTCTAGTGCTGGGCTGGCTTAGGCAGTGTCAAGAATTTTTAATTAAAATATGCGTCACTCAATTTTATTGTTTCATACTGCCAGAGTATTTCAATAACAGTAGTAAACCAGTCATTTCTTTTACCTCCCTTCTCCATAAAAACCTAGATTTATGACCATTTTTATGATAAAATATTTTGTGAGAACTATTTACCTATCATTGTTTGACTCTATTACCTATAAATATGGTTTCTATACCACTTGCCTATTTGCAATGTACTTATGAAAGATTTATCTCTTTCCTGTCTGCTTCACACCTTAACACATGGAATCACAACACCCACCGGTAAGAACAGGAGGTATTTATATCCAATTTAATTCTCGTGTAAACTGTGGAGAATACCCTTGTTATCTGTCAGGTTTAGAGCTTGTTAAATGATTTCCAGTGTTAGTTCTGATCTCTTTTGCATGATATAGCAGAGGAAAAACATAGCAAGAAACTGGGGAAGAAAACGTGGAAGAGGCCAAGTAGAGTACAAATTCTCCATTTCAGTGACAGCTTGACCTCCAATCCTGTCTATGTACAGTTTCCTACTCCCCACAAAAATGGACTTCTCTGCCCCCCTTCCCATGCTGGTAGAGGTTACGGGTATACGGTTTGCATTAGATAACTGTCATAAAGAAAATGTCATTCTCTTTCATCATCCTCTCTTCATGATGTAGGTGCCTCTCTCTCCTCTCATCTGCATGCCAGTATTACATGATCCTGGAGCGTGTGAGCTCTAAGCCATGTGCCGCTGAGACTTGCATGTGGTTTTGAAAACTTGACTTTGCACGAACTTCTTGTTTGTACATGGTGTCTACATTTTCATTTTGTGACTGCAAAGTGAGTAAAAGAAAAGAAAAACAAAAACAAACTCAGTATGAGATAACTCTGAAAACAGCAAATGGAAGGTGTTTGCTTATTAAGTGTGATGTGTAAAACAAAGTTGATTAGAGAAAAGTAACTGTACTATTAGACTGTTGAGAGGTTTAAAAAAGAGAGAGAGAAAAGAAAATTTTTAAAAGACCTTTTTTTGTTTGTTTTTTTTTTTTACTGCCAAAACCACATTGTTAATGATTATTGTGTCCTGTCAAATTATTGTTGGTAAAATTATGATTTCAAAACAGTTGAAAATTAGCTAGTTTATGTACTGTGATACATAAAACTACATCAAACTGTTGTATTTTGCATCAGCATTCCATATTATTTCATTTAAGTATAAACTTAAATATAATTTCTCATGAAACATTTCAGGCCATATTTTACTGTTCAATCATCTTCAAATGAAATAGAGGTTTCCAAACATACAGATAAATCCACTTAAAATTATTTCAAGAGCCAAGACATTTAATTGCTTAGCAAACCACCAAAACATAGAAATAATTGTTTCCCTCTCCCCGCCCCCCCAAAAAAGTAAGGCTATATCCATTACTCCTTCTATGTTTAATTTTCTTATACACTGTTGTCAGATGTTGCCAAACAGAAAACAATCATGGATTCTGTTTCACTTGAACCAAAATGACTCAGTGTACAAAAGGAGAGGGTCCAGCCAAGAAAGGTAGTGAAAAGAATGTGTCTTTCAGGGTCCAGCTTCAGTTTTAGAACTGGATAATTGTCTCAAGCATGTGCACAGATTAATCCTGAAAATATTTTTCTTCTGCATGCAGAAAATGGACTAGTTGATAATAAAGAGATGTTTTCTCAAGTTAATGCTAATAGCATTTCAAGGAATTTCCACAAATCAAAGCCATCTTATGGCCCAATCTGAAACTTTCTGAAGTTAGCCGACATTATTTTTGTGAGAATGATAACAAGAAAATGAAAACTATTTTCTGTCTAAGTGTAGAATCAAGTAGACTAATACCACACATAAGAACTAGGGGCTTAAATGAAGATGTTCTTTATCATGACAGGAAGTAAACTCTATAATTTAATACTAGCATGGAAGGAAATCACTTATGTGCATTTAATGGAAGAATTTTGCCGTTCCTGAAATTTCTGCTACAACAACAAACAAGTAAAGGCTGAGAGACAGAAAAAGAGACCTTGGCACTCATACTCAGCCTGCCACCAGTCTTGAGCAAGTCATTTAATCTTTCTGCAGTTTCAATAAACTCGTCACATGTAAAGCACCTGTATTCAAATATGATGTGTACATCATAATCTCTCTGCTGCCCACTTCCTCTACTCTTGTAGTGAACATGTGAGCCTTCCTTATGGAACATTTTGCAATGAATGTAGTTCAAAAACCAGCCTACTAAGTAGGTATTAGAATCATTGCTTGTAGAGAACAAAGGTAAACATTCCAAAAAACACAAGCAAAAGAGCAAGTTGTACCTATGTACACACACACACACACAGTGGATGAGGTAGTCCAGACACATTGTTATTTAGTCGATTTTAGGAAGAGCAGGTTAGGGGAAACTGAATTTTTGTTAGGACTGTTTAATAAAGGCAATTTTGAGAGATGTATATAGAAAGTATCTGGGCTAATGGCCTAGATAAGAAGTACATTCTCTGGAAAGGTGAACAGATAAACTCACTTAGAGCACAGGTAGGGAAAATGAATAAAGTGGCATGATAGCTTTCAGGAATAAGGGAGAAAGCTCACCACCATGGTACTACATGATCTAAGCTCCCACATTAACTCTTGATGAATGGTGAGGAGGATGGAGATATGGCTTAGGAGTAGAGCTGTAGGGCCTGAGTCCTTGAAGATTTCAATGAAGAATCATCCGAGCAGGCTAAAAATCTTTCCAAGGCCAATGATATTCTGCGTGACACAGCATGCTTCTTAAAGGGTTCAGTACATATAGCCAAAGTAGAAGCAAGACTGATAAATGGCAGACTGTTTAATAGAGACCCTTATTTCTTAGGGCTGGTGTGATTTCTAAAGAATAGTTTAATCATATTTTATTTTTCTTATTTCCCTATCTTTCCTAATTTATCAACTACCTGGCAGAGTAGCCAGGTACTAGCATTGAAGTTACCTCTGCATTCATGATCTAATTGTACTTAATAAAAATCTCATCTTGGGGATCAGGGGAGAGAGCTCACTCTGCCTCAAAAGCATGAAGACTTGAGTTCAATCCCCATAACTCATTAGGAAAAAATGCAGTGGCTCTTACTATGACTCCACCAGAGGGAAGACAGCCACAGGCAAATCTTTAAAACTCTCAGGCCAACCAGATCAGCCTCCTAGGTATATTCCAGGCTAAGCAGAGACCCTATATCAGAATAAATAAATAAATAAATAAAAAGTGGACAGCAGCTGGACTGACTTCTTGCCTCCAAAAGCATGGGTACACATGAGCATTTGTTCACGCACACACAAATGCACTGAGCAAAAGCCATTATTCTGTACACTTATTTAAATAATTTCACATTTGTGTGACTTTTATGTTCAGATCACAGTTTTTGATACATCACAGTGAAGTGCAGTGGTGGGGACCTGCACTTGTGATCAATGGATGAAACCAGGCAAAATAATCCTTACAATCAACCCAGTCACCAGCACAAAAGGAAAGCTTAAAAATAATGCAGCATGCCTTCAGATCCGTATTTTTAATCCTCTTACCTATTCTAAAAACCTTTTATTTATAAACATAGTCAAT